TCGTCTCCGTGCTGCTCACAGTAGACGACGCGACCCTTAAGAGCTGTGACACTGCGTCGTCTCTGTGCTGTACCGTGCTGCCCACAATAAACAGACGACACTGTCGTCTCCGTGCTGTAACACTACGCTGCTTGCCCTGGCGCTCACGCCTTCACTCAGGAAACCCGTTCGGCTGTCCCCCCGGGTCGGGACAATTTTTGTGTGTTCATCTTATATACTGTCATTTTGCTCCATTTGTTTATTAGCTTTAGGAGCTTTTTGTGGATTATTTAGGGTTTTCTGTATATAAAATTATTATCTATGAATAAAGATAGTTTTACTTTATTACTTTCCATTTGGATGCTAACTATTTATTTTATTTGTTTATTTTTGAGAGGTTTTTGCTATAGGGTGCGTGCGCTCGCCAGAAAGAGAGACAAAGTGAGAAATCACCCCCTGGGGGGGATGGCCACACCGCAATCCCTTCTCCTCCATTCTTCTCTTGGGATCTTGGGCACGCACACACACGTGCCCAGCGTGAGTTTAAGCCACCAGGTCCAGGACTCGAACCGTGGTTGACTACATGGGAGTCCAGCAACATAGCCATTACGCCAACTGCTGGTCCAATGCTATTTATTTATGTATGTATGTTTGGTATAAGGTGCGTGCGCTGACCAGGGAAAGAAGTGGGTGAGAGGGAGGGAATACCCCCCGGGGGATGATTACACTACAGTCCCTTCTGCTTTTTCTCCAGGATTTTGGAAATTCACACACCCACACCTGGCATGTTCAAGCTGTTAGGTCCAGGACTCAAACTACAGAGTTGGGCATGTGGGATTTAGCACCTTAACTACCATACAACCTATTGGCCCATGGTCTCTCTTTTTAAATTTAAAATTTCTTGGGGCCAGCAGGTGGCATGGTGGTTAAAGGCACTGGACTCCCACATGTCCACCATGGACCTAGCAGCTTTCTCACTTTCTCTTTCTCTCCTCACTCTGTCCCTCTCTGGTTAAATTAAAATAAGTAAATAGATAAATAAAAATGATTTTTTAAAAAATAATTTATTTATTCATTTACTTATTTTGACCAGAGAGAGAGAAAGTGAGAAAGCAAGCCACCAGGTCCAGGACTTGAACCATGGTTCGCCATGTGGGAATGTCCCGTGCCCTAACCACCATGCCACCTGCTGGTCCCCTGATAAAAATAATTCTTTAAAATTTTTTTTTTTTAATTTCTTTCACAGGAGAGACAGACAGACAGACAGATAGAAGCACACTTAATAGGGTCTTACTATAATGTCACTCATCCTTTCCAGCCTGCCAGGATCACACATACATGGGCCTGGCATATAGTTTGACCAGAAACCTGTAATCTTCTCTATAGATATAGTATTGCCTGCCCAATCTTTTACTGACCAAATAGTTCTTCATGGTGTATTTAATGCCACATTTTTTGCATTTTTTTGAGAGATTTTTGCTACAGGGCGCATGCACAGCTGCCCACATCACTACACATGAAATTGTTAGGTCATATAGTAATTCTGTGTTTAATTTTTTTTTGAGGAACCGCCAAACTCTTTTCTACAGCAGCTGAACCAAATTTTGTATTCCCTCCACAAGTGTATGAGGTCCTTGAAGCTATTGTATTATAGCTTGTGGCTTAAAGGCCCGGTGGATAACTTACATTGTTGTTGCAGGTATGACATCACTTGGTGAGGATTGTTGCCTGAGCAGCTGAAGTCAGTGGCTTGCGGGATGGATTATGAATCATCCCACAGTGGAAAGGGCCAATCAGGCCCTTTGAAACTTGATAAACAATGTTCATCTATTGCTTAATAAAACTGTATCATGCCTCTCCTCTCTTCCAAGTTTGTGACTAGGGGAGTCAGGCTTTCCCCTCCTGCTGTCAGAGCACCCAGGCATACTCCTGGGTGACACTATCATTCAGTTCATAGGGGAGTGACTGATTTACATTGCCCAAAGCCTGAACTGTACCTACGGTGTTTTTAAGCTGTTTTGAATACCTGTTGGTACTCTCTCATCCATTTCCTTTGAGCCCCTTTCTTTGCCGATTTATGTAAAGGACAAAATAGTTGAGCTAAATGGGCGATACATAGCCACCAATAACCCAATAATCCTAAAAATTTTACAGTTGCTTAGAAGTGGTAGGATGGGGAAAGGCTTGGATCTTATCAGTAGCCACCAACAGCATCACATTTGTCTTAGCTGACCAAAGGACCCCCAAGAATTTGACAGATAAGCTAGGCTCTTGCAACTTGTTTTGGTGTACAGCCTATCCCCTACCTTGTAATGATGGTCAGAAGTTAATGTAGTATCAATAATGAAATAGAGACACTGTATTTGACTCACTTTACTTTTCTAGGTCTCGGGCAATTATTACTTGGCACAGACAGAGGTATCCCTGTGGAGGGTAGACTACCCCTATGGGAGGGTGTTAAATGTCCATTGACAGGCCAGTAGGTGGTGTGGTGGTTAAAGCACTGAACTCCCACGTGGCTGACCATAGTTCATCCCAGATCTGGTGGCTTGCTTTCTCAGTTTCCCTCTTTCTCTCTCTGGTGTGTTCATGTGCTCTATAGCAAATTAAAAATAATAAATACAAAAAATAATTTAAAAACTAAGTACTGGGTTGTAGGAAAAATCATGACATTTTTCTGTGTAAATAATTCGATGATCTAATAAATGTTCATTGGTGTCCTTGTAAGGAAAAGTCAAACTGGTCTTGACAATCTGCATAAATTTCAGTACTAGAAAAGGCATTAGCTAAATCAACAACCAAGTTTTGTTTGTTTGTTTTTTGCCATAGGGCATGTGAGCTAAGGGAAAGTGAGAAATCATTCCCTAGAGGGGATGCCCATACCACAGTCCCTTCTCCTTTATTCTCCTCTTGGAATTTTGGGCATGCATGCACAGGTTTCCAGCATGATTTTCAAGCTGCCAGGTCTGGCACTCAAACTATGGTTTGCCATGTGGGAATTTAGCACCTTAACCACCTCACTACCTGCTGGCCCCCAGCAACAAAGTGTTAAATGATCCCAGCTGTCAAAAGTATCAGCAATAGTTGCTTGCAGGGGAGGAAGTACCTTATTTCATTCTCTGTAATCTACTGTCATTCTCCAAGTATCTGGTTTCTTCACTGGCCATGCAGGGGAGTTGTAAGGGCTGTGTGTACTGGGGAATAAATTCTATTGTTTCTCTTGTTTCCTTATGTCCTCCTGGTAATCTATATTTTACTGCTATCACCCAGTGAAGGTTGGGGAGGACATACAGAGGATGTTTAGCATGCGTGCATATAATAGCTTTCACAATTTGTACCCAGGAGTGAAACTCCCCAACACTAATATGCAGACACAACCCTTATAATATGTGAGTACCCAATATGTATTCCTTTATAGGAGATGCATGTATTTTGGACACAAAGGGATATGCCCAATACCCTTTGTTGGGGTCACTTTCCTTATCTTTATTGTGATCTCCCCCTATATCCATCAATAGCAGTTAAAGGTCTCTCAAATTTATTAGGGTTGCTGTTAAGTGAGCATACATTTGGCTCCCATATCAACTAAAACCAACATTATTTGTACATATTTTGATGTCCAATATATTACAAGCTGTGTGTGGCCTCTGACTCACTGAGAAAGATTGCATGCTCTCAGGGGTTTGGTCTTCCCGTTATGCTAATAACTAGGTCCAATGAGGTGAACTTGTTTCTCAGCCAGGGGAGTGTTGGGAATTGCTACTGCCTTTCTTTTTTTTTTTTTTTTTTTTTTTTTTTGAGAGGTTTTTGCTATAGGGCTTGTGCGCTCACCAGAAAGACAGAGAGACAGAAAGGAAAAAATCACCCCCCAGGGGGATGTCCATGCCACAGTCCCTTCTCTCTCATTCTCCTCTTGGGATCTTGGGCATGTACGCACATGTGCCCAGCATGAGTTTAAGCCACTGGGTCTGGGACTCGAACCGTGGTCGACTACATGGGAGTCCAGTGACATAGCCATTATGCCAACTGCTAATCTCCCCTCCCCCCATTTTTTTAAAGATTTACTTGTTTAATTTTGTTTATTATTATTTTTAAAATTTGCTATAGGGCACCTACACTCACCAGAAAGAAAAAGAAGTAGAAAGCAAACCACCAAGTCTGGGACTTGAATCGTTGGCCATGTGGGACTCCAGTGCCTTAACTACCATGCCACCTGCTGGCCCCTGTGAATAGCTTATTCTTTATTGTTCCAGCAGGTGGAGTTACCACGTAAGACATCCTGGAGGTGTAGAGGAAGGGCACTGTTGGCCTTAGTCAGAGTCTATTATAGACCTTGCAGTTAAAGTTTTTTCTTGGGTAGGGGCTAGAACCTCTTTTCTTTCTCATTTAATTTTTAGGTTTTTGGCTTAGGACATATGAGTTCAACAGAAAGAGACAGAGCCAGAAAGAAGAGACATCACCCCCAAGGTGGGATGGCCACACTTTAGTCCCTTCTCCATTCTCCTCTTGGGATTTTGGGCATGTATATAGTCATGCTTGGCATGATTTTCAAGCTACCAGGTCTGGGACTTAAACTACGGTTGGCTATGTGGGAGTCCAGCACCTTAACCACCATGCCACTTGCTGGCCCTGAACTACTCTTTTTTTCTTTTATTGCCAGAGGTTGTGTATACTTGCCAGAGGAAGAGGGAGAAAGCACCCCTGCAAAAGGTGCATAGTCATGCTGCTCTTCTCCATTTCTCTATCCTATCAGGATTTGGGACATGCATTCACATGTGCCTGGCATGTTTCTCAAGCTGCCAGGTCTGTGAATCGAACTGTGTGGGATTTAAATAATGTAGTTGGCCATATGAGACTTGGCTCCCTTAATCCCCAGGCACTGAAGCTGTCTCTGGACTACTTTTTGGGTGCTGTTTTTAATACCTAACCTTATATCAGTATCTCTTCTGTTTTAGGTTAGACTGGTAATAGTAGATGGCATTGCATTTCCTTTTCGTCATGACCTAGATGATCTATCCCTTCGTACTCGGTTACTGAATGGCCTAGCCCAGCAAATGATCAGCCTTGCCAATAGTCACAGATTGGCTGTAAGTATTACTAGTCAAGAGAGTTTTATAATAATGTCAAGACTATATAATATACTAATATTTAGAAATAACAAAATAGAATTTGCTAGACTAAAAGCAAATGATAGTGACATGCATCTTTTTTTTTTTTAGTTTTTTTTTTTTTTTTTTTTTTAGGTTTTTTTGCCATAATGTACATGTGCTTACCAGAGAGACAGGGAGAGACATTGAAAAAGAAAGTGAGAAATCACCCTTGGGAGTGTGGAGATGGCCACACTGCAGTTCTTCTGTATTCTCCTCTTGACATTTTGGGAATGCATACACAAGTGCCCAGCATGAGTTTCAAGCTGATAAATTTGGGACTCAAACCGCAGTTGGCCTTGTGGAAGTCCAGTGTCTTAACCACTATGCCACCTGCTGACACCACATGCAGTTTTGAATGTAGTTTTGTTTTGGTTTCTGTTCATTTTAGTCATAAATGTTGTGCATCGGTTTTCCTGCAAAATAAGCATAATCAATATGTCATTTAAAAAATGGACTTTCATGAAGAAATGTCACCTTTGGAAATTGCAGTATTTTGTCTAAACATACTTGATGTTTTTCAGATAAGCTCTTTCTACATCAGTGTTTTTCTTTTACTCTGAGTCTTTGATTATTAAAAAGTCTATAATCACATATTCAGATGGACTGAAAAGTTATGTAGTGTAAGCAGCCTTGATGTTTCCAAGTAGGGCTAAACTTTTCCAGATTTGAAGTGTAAGGAGAAAGGTAATAGAAGAGAAGAGAGAAAAGGGGGTGAGGTAAAACTCCTTTTTTTCTCCCTTTAAAACTGCCTATTTGCTATCACTTCCACTCTACAAACCCATCCCACCATTAGTAAATAAATACATGTTCGGGAAAGAGAAGGAAGGTTACACTGCTTAATTTGATTTCTTTGTTTTTACCCTGATGAAAATGTCCTTAGCACTTACCTGTACTACATCATAAGTAAATAAATAACTCCCTTTATAAAAATCATTTAAAAACATAAATCTTTAAAAAATATTTTTTTATTTAATTTTATTTGTTATCATTATTTTTTAGTTTGACCATAGAGAGAGAGAGAGCAGGAGAAAGGGAAAGTGAGAAAGCAAGCAAGCTACCAGGTCCAGGACTCCAACTGCGGTTGGCCATGTGGAAATCTAGCACCTTTAACCATCACTCCACCCCCAAAACATGCATCTTTTCTTTGAATTTTCAGACCTTTTGCTGTATGCTGAAGACCACAGTGTCCTGTGTTTAAGTTATTTCTTGCCATTAATCATAACTTAGCATTCTGTTAACACCAATGAAGACCCCCCAGTAGGGGGCACTCAAGACTAATGGGTTGCATTGTTCCTTAGGGTTTTGTTTTTGTTTTTGTTTTAAAAGAAATAGTTTTCTCTTTTTTGATTAAAAAAGTAACCCAAACAGTAACGTGGAATACTGCGCAGTGTTTAAGAAGAGTGATATAAGTATAAATGCACTAATATACAACAGTATATATCCAGATACGTGATTAGGTGAAAACATTGAAGTTGTACAATAATATATTTAGTGTAATCCTACTTTTGAGAAAAATTATATACATGCTTTTACTTATGAAAACAAGTAATGTTTTTTGGCCTTTGGCTAAGATAAAGTGTACATATGAAGAGAAATATTTGAAAGGACGAAAACTTTAATAGGTGGCTACTTCTAAGGGTAGGATTTTGTGGAATTGGGAATATACTTTCTCTATAAATTCTTCTGTGCTTGACATGCTCCCTCCCTCCCACCCCAAACCCAACTCCCCATTAGCAAGTATAAAAGCATATGTGACTTCTGATATATATTTTACACTTTTATGTATGCATATATTAAATGCTCAAATGTTCAAAGTTTTTTTGATGTTTCAAACTATGAAGGTTTTACTCTTTTTTTTTTTTTGAGTCATTTATTCTAATTTTATTTAGTCATTCTCTCTTTTTTTTTTTTTAATTTGGCCAGAAAGAGACGCACAGAGAGAGAGGGGGAAGATGCAAAAGCAAACCACCAGGTCTGGGACTTGAACTCTGGTCGGCCATGTGGGAGTATCTAGCACCTTAATCACTATGCCACCTGCTAGTCCCAGTTTTACTCTTTTTAAAAAATAATAATTTTTAAAATTTTATTTATTCATACATTTATTTTAATTTGACCAGAGAGAGGGAAAGTGAGAAAGCAAACCACTAGGTCCAGGATTCAAACCATGGTTGGCCATGCGGGAATGTCCAGTGCCTTCTCCTCCATTCTCCTCTCGGGATCTTGGACATGCACGCACACGCGCCCGGCGTGAGTTTTAAGCCACTGGGTCTGGGACTCAAACCGCGGTCAACTACATGGGAGTCCAGCGACATAGCCATTACGCTAACTGCTGGTCCCAGGATAACTACCCAATTTTATAGGTGAAATAAGAAAAATGATCAGAAAAAAATGTTATTATCTGAATAAATCTTACTTTAAAAGTTGGAATTTAGGTATGGTGGTTAAGGAAGCTGAATCCCACATGACTGGCTGTGCATTTCAAGTCCTGGACCTGGCAACCTAAAAAAGCACATTGTGCCCAAAAATTCCAAAAGGAGACAGATGGAGAAAAGATTAGAGCATGACCATTCCCATTTTAGGTGCTTTCTCACTTTCCCTCTCTCTTGGGAAAGCATACATGCCCTCTGGCAAAATTAAGAGGGGGGAGTTAGATTATATTCAGAATACTAAAATCATAATTTTGGGGAGAAACTCACCTGATTTTCTCACATTTTGTTTTTACAGGTACTTCTAACCAATCAAATGACAACAAAGATTGATAAAAATCAGGCCTCGCTTGTTCCTGCATTAGGTGGGTAATTAAATAAACATTTTTAGTTAAACACATTTTCTTCTGCCTCTTTCATTTGATACTTGTTGAGAATTGTAAACTCCACAAAAGCAGAGAATGTTGTCTTATTCACCTTAGCACCAAGTACAGTGCCCTTAGTTACTGACTGATCCTTCTAGTTATTTAATAAACATTTATTGCGTATCTACTATCTTGTTGTGTCAGGTACTGGGGATAAAAATATTCATAAGGTAGTTCTTACTTTCTGGAAGCTCACAGTCTTAGGCAGGGGGAAGAGTGAATTTATTTAAATAGAAATCACATTGGTGATTAGACTTATTACTGTTCCTAACCTTAGTCATGGCTTTGTTAGAATGTGATGCTTCAAGTTTTATATCTGCTAAAATATTTTAAAATAGTCTTATCAACCACAACAACAAAAGAATATTCGATCAGAGTTTTTGTTTTTCTTCTGGGGATCAGAAATAGGATAATGGGCCTGAGATATGGAAAATTGACAAATACACTGACTCAAACATAAAGCTTCAGACTATTAAACCAAGTATACTTTTATCATGTTAAATAGAGTAAAGTAAAATTACATTTAATCAAAAGTATTTTGAGAAACTTACAACCTAGTCAATAGGGCAATATTACAGGTACTATGTTCTTTTCTCTTAGGGGAAAGTTGGGGGCATGCTGCTACAATACGGCTAATTTTTCATTGGGAACGAAAGCAAAGGTCAGTATAAAAATAAGTTAGTAAATCTGAATATTGGATTAATCACACTAAGCACTTAACTTAGATCTAGTTTTTTAGATCTAGTCCTGTCCACGAGACCCCTGAACTAATGCTTTTAGATCTTGTCTGAGACCATCCAGGGCACATTCCTACCTACATAGGAAATTTTTGGGATATTTTAATAATGGGGTGCATACCTGAAACAAGTAGGTGGCCAAGGAATGCCTCCTCCTAAAGCTCTTTGAAATCCTTTATTAGCCATGCAAAAAGAGGTAAGTACTCTGTGTTCCTGGAAGGGATTGAAAGAAGAATAATATCAAGACTAATTTATGTGGAAAATAGGATGGTTTTTCTTAGTTGCTTAATGTATTTCTTTATGAAATTGCATCTGTTATTTTTTCTTTTGCATTTTTTTTCCTGCTATTATTATCTAGCTAGTTACTTGCCTTTTACAAGTATTGTTCTTTAAAATCATGCCAGCATGAAACCTTTACATTTGTTTTTAAAGCTGCTGAACAAGTAAACAAAACAGCCTTTATTTTCTTTAAAATAGGCCATTGAAAGCTGTGAATTCTTTTATTTTACACTTTCAGAAATGTTAGATTTATGCCAACCTCTCTGCTTTGTGATTAATTGGTATAACCTAGAGAACTTGCTTTGGAAATTCTATAATAAAGGGGGTAGTTCAGACATCCTATAGGCAAAGATGGAATAACAGGTCATTTAAATACACATTGGGAGGCCCAGGAGGTAGCTTGGTGGTTAAAGACGCTGGACTTCCACATGGCCGACCACAGTTTGAGTCCCAGACCTTGTGTGTTGATTTCTCACTTTCTTCCTCTCTGTCTCCCTCTGGTCAAATTAAAATGTATACACACATACATACATAAAGTTAAAAAAAAATTAAAAAAAATATATGGGGCTGGCAGAGATGTGGTTGTTAGGGGTACTGGACTCCCACATGTGACCATGGTTCGACTCCCAGACTTGGTGACTTGCTTTCTCACTTTCCTCTTTCTCGCTCTCTTGCTTTGTCCTTCTCTGGCCAAATTAAATAAATAGTAAATAAAGCTAAACAATAAAAAAAACTTTTTTGAGAGGTTTTTGCTGTAGGGCGTGTGTCCTCACCAGAAGGAGAGAGACAGACAGCGTGAAATCACCCTCCAGGGGTGATGGCCACACTGCAATCCCTTCTCCTCCATTATCCTCTCGGGATCTTGGGCACGCACACACACACGTTCGTGTGAATTTAACCCACAGGGTCCGGGACTCGAACTGTGGTCGACTACATGAGAGTCCAGTGTCATAGCCATTATGCCAACTACTGGTCCCCAGTCTATTTTTTTTTTTTTTAAGTTTTCTTTTTTTAAGAATTATTTTATTAACTTTATTTATTTACTTATTTTAATTTGGCCAGAGAGAGACAGAGAGAAATATGGAAAGTGAGAAAGCATGTTGCCCCATCTGGAACTTGAACTGTGGTTGGCCATATGGTAGTCCAGCGTTCTTAACCACCATGCCACCTGCTGGCCCCAATACAGTCTTATTTTATAATCTGTATTTCTTTTTTCTTCTACAAACTGAAAAACACGATGCCTGACTAAGGTAGGTTTACTTGACCCTAATATAAACTTGTGTGTTGATTTCTCACTTTCTTCCTCTCTGTCTCCCTCTGGTCAAATTAAAATGTATACACACATACATACATAAAGTTAAAAAAAAATTAAAAAAAATATATGGGGCTGGCAGAGATGTGGTTGTTAGGGGTACTGGACTCCCACATGTGACCATGGTTCGACTCCCAGACTTGGTGACTTGCTTTCTCACTTTCCTCTTTCTCGCTCTCTTGCTTTGTCCTTCTCTGGCCAAATTAAATAAATAGTAAATAAAGCTAAACAATAAAAAAAACTTTTTTGAGAGGTTTTTGCTGTAGGGCGTGTGTCCTCACCAGAAGGAGAGAGACAGACAGCGTGAAATCACCCTCCAGGGGTGATGGCCACACTGCAATCCCTTCTCCTCCATTATCCTCTCGGGATCTTGGGCACGCACACACACACGTTCGTGTGAATTTAACCCACAGGGTCCGGGACTCGAACTGTGGTCGACTACATGAGAGTCCAGTGTCATAGCCATTATGCCAACTACTGGTCCCCAGTCTATTTTTTTTTTTTTTAAGTTTTCTTTTTTTAAGAATTATTTTATTAACTTTATTTATTTACTTATTTTAATTTGGCCAGAGAGCGACAATATGGAAAGTGAGAAAGCATGTTGCCCCATCTGGAACTTGAACTGTGGTTGGCCATATGGTAGTCCAGCGTTCTTAACCACCATGCCACCTGCTGGCCCCAATACAGTCTTATTTTATAATCTGTATTTCTTTTTTCTTCTACAAACTGAAAAACACGATGCCTGACTAAGGTAGGTTTACTTGACCCTAATATAAAGAGGTTTTTGTCATAGGACATGTGCACTTACCAGTAAGAGAGGGAGACAGATACAGTGAGAGGGAAGGTGAGAAATCACCACCCCCTCCCGGGGGAACAGCCATGCTGCAATCCCTATTCCTCCATTCTCTTCCTGGGATCTTGAGCATGCATGCACATGTTCCTGGTGTGATTTTCAAGCCACCAGGTCCAGGACCCTAATTACTGTGAGCTATGTGGGAGTCCAGTGATGTAACCACCACACCAATTGCTGGCCTTATGTATACCTTTTTTTTGCAATTGATTCATACAGTTTGTGTCTTCTTTTAAAATGGTATTTCCAGAGAGCTCTGGTAATGTTTTTTAGTTTTCACTATAGGGCATGTATGCTCACCAGATGGATACAGAGAGAGAAAGTAAGACATCACCCCTCCAGAGGCGATGACCATGCTGCAATCACTTCTCCATTCTTCTCTTGGGATTTTGGGGATGCACACACATGCGCCCAGCATACTTTACTTTACTTTACTTTACTTTACTTTTCTTTTCAAAGTATTATTTACTGGGGCCAACAAGTGGTGTGGTAGTTAAGGCTCTGGACTCCCACATGGCTGACCATGATTCAAGTCTCAAACTGGCAGCTTACTTTCTTACTTTGTCTCTTTCTGGTGAGCACATGTGACCTATAGAAAATTTAAAAATAAATAAATAAATAAATAATTAAAAATAATTATCCAATAATATTTTTTATTATTACTTTTTAAATTTTGCTATAGGGCACATGTGCTCACCAGAGAAAGAAAAGGAAAGTGAGACAGCAAGCCACCAGGTCTAGGACTTGAACCACAATCGCCCATGTGGGAGTCCAGTACCTTAATCACCATGATACCTGATTTACCACACCCCCACCCCATTTTTTTTTAAGAATTATTTTATTTTTCTTAAAGTTTATTTATTCACTCATTTATCTATTTATTTTAATTTGACCAGAGAGGGACAGAGAGAAAGAGAAAGTGAGAAAACAAGCCACCAGGTCTGATACTTGAGACATAGTTGGCCATGTGGGAGTCCAGCACCCTCAACCACCATGCCACTTGCCGGCCTCACCACTTCATGATTTTTAAGCCTCTGAATCTGGGACTCAAACCACAGAGTAGACCATGTGGTATCTAGACAGTTTACCCTAGGCCACCTAGTGACCCTCTGGTAACCTTTCTTTTCTTTTTTTTAAGAATTACTTATTTGGAGCCAGCAGGTAGCATGGTGGTTTACATGCTGGACTTCCATATGACTGGCCACGGTTTGAGTCCTGGACCTGGTGGCTTGCTTTCTCACTCCTCCCCACTCTCTGTTTCTCTCTGGTCAAATTAAAATAAGTGAATAAAATAAAATAACATAATTCTTCAAAATAAAGAATTATTTATTCAATTTTATTTGTTATTATTACTTTTAAATTTTGCTATAGGTTACATGAGCTCACCAGAGAGAGAGAGTGGTAAAGTAAGAAAGCAAGTCACCAGGTCTGGGACTCAAACCATGGTGGTTTGGCCATGCGGAAGTCCAGCACCTTAACTACCACACCTCCTGCTGGCCCCTCTGGTAATGTTTTTAAAAAATAATTTTTATGTAGTGCTTATGATCAAGTACTTCTGTAATTCTATGCATAAATTTATATACTGAATTCACAAAAGGAGTTTTTTTGTTTCAGCAACAAACCATATTACAAAGATTTGGCAGCAGTTTTCCAACTGAGAGTCCTTTTTTTTTTTTTTTAAAGAATTATTTTATTGGGGAACCAGCAGTTAGCGTAATGGCTATGTCCCTGGACTCCCACGTAGTCGACTGCAGTTCACGTCCCGGACCCGGTGGCTTAAAACTCACACTGGGCACGTGTGCATGCGTGCCCAAAATCCCGAGAGGAGAATGGAGGAGAAGGGATTGCAGCGTGACCATCCCCTCTGGGGGGTGATTTCTCGCTTTCTGTCTCTATGTCTCTCTCTGTTTGTCTGGCGAGCGCATGCACCCTATAGCGAAAAAAACTCTCAAAAAAAAAAAGAGTTAAGCACTGTATGAATTTAGCTTCTTATACACGTTTCCAAAGAAATTAGAGCAAAGTGAGACTGGCAGGTGACATGGTGGTTGGGGTACTGAATTCTCACATGACTGACCACAGTTCGAGTCCTGGACCTGGTAACTTGCTTTCTCACTTTCCCTTTTTCTCTCTCTGTCTCTGGTCAGATGGAAAAACAATAATAATAAATAAAATTAAATAAATAATTCTTTAAAAAGAAAAAAATTAGACAAGGGTATAGTACACTGACGTTCACTACAGATACATTGGGATGATATCTATTGGTCTATAAAAATTTCCGTATATCCATTTTTTTTTTTTGAGAAGTTTTTGTTATAGGGTGCATGTGCTCGCAAGACAGAGAGACAGACAGCGAGAAATCACCCCCCCAGGGGGGATGGCCACGCCACAATCCCTTCTCCTCCATTCTCCTCTTGGGATCTTGGACACGCACACACACGCGCCCAGGGTGAGTTTTAAGCCACTGGGTCTGGGACGCGAACTGC